TATGGCAGGCATCCTCAGAGGTTGAGGGGTCTGTTGGAAACTAGGCAAGAGGGGTTTATATATCTGTGAAAGGTCCAGGGTGGAAGAAGGAACTCTTGTCTGCTTGAAGCAAGTGTTAATGTTGCAACTGACCACCTTGATTAGCACTGAAGAGCAAAACCTGACTGCTTCCTGCCTGGGGGAATCCTTTGTTGAGAGGTGTTAACTGGCCCTGATTGTTTTTTGTCTGGAATTCCCCTATTTCTTTTAGTTTTGCTCTTTATTTACTGTCCTGATTTTAGAGTTTTTTAATACTAGTAGTTAGATTTTTCTCATTTTCATAGTTTCCTCCTCCTTTCTGTTGGAATTGTCCACTTGCTTGTGGATTTCAGTGGTTTTTCTGGTAGTTGTTAGAGTGGCCCAACATTTCCGTGTTCTCAAATAATATACTGTGTCCACACTGATTCACCAGGTTCTCCACTATCGCTGAATTCTCAGGTTGAATTAGTCTGCAGTGCCTTTCATGTTCCTTGATTCGTGTTCGGGCGCTGAGTTTGGTGGTCCCTATGTAGACTTGTCCAGAGCAGCATGCATGAAAGGCACTGCAGACTAATTCAACCCAAGAAGTCAGTCATAGTAGAGCACTTGATAAACCAATCTGGGCACAGCATATTATTTGAGAACACTGAAATGCTGGACCACTCTAACAACCATGTCAGACTACACGGAGAAGCCACTGAAATCCATAAGCATGTGCACAATTTCAACAGAAAGGAGGAAACCATGAAAATTAACAAAATTTGGCTACCGCCATTTAAAAATTCTAAAATAATGACAGTAAATAAAGAGCAACCCTCAAAATCTTTGGCATTCCAGACAAGAATCAATCAGGGACAGCTAACATCTCCAAACAAAGGATTCCCCCGGGCAATAACCGTCCAGGCTTTGGAGCTGCAAGGCCATTAAAAGGCTAATCAAGGTGGCCAATTGCAACATTCACATCTACCTCAAGCAGACAATAATAAATAATAATAAACTTTATTTATACCCCGCCACCATCTTCCCAGTGGGGACTTGGAGCGGCTTACATGGGGCCAAGCCCGGACAACATATTACAGCAAAATAGAAACAAAGCATAAACAACAAACAACATAATCAAAATTATATAGAAAAAAAATAACATAGTCATAAAATAACATTCCAATAAACACAAACATGATAACAATGGGCAGGCCACATGTACAAGATAAAACGATTAAAATCTAATGAGATAAAAATAGGAGCAGGTTATTTGCAGGGAACTCATAAAAACAAGCAGAGTTATGAAGCTAAACTTCCCATTTGGAGGCCGTGTACTTCAGTGGCAAAAGCGTTGAAGGGTGCAGTAATGTCATGTTGTGCACCTACTCACCAAAGGTGCAGCGGAAGAGCCAGGTTTTAAGGTTCTTTTTGAACGTTTCTAGTGAAGGGGCTTTCCTGATCTTTCCAAGTAATGAGTTCCAAAGTTGGGGAGCCACAGAAGAGAAGATTCTCTCCCTTGTGCCCACAAAATGAGCTTGTGAGATTGGTAGGGGTGAAAGGAGGACCTCCCCCGAAGATCGAAGGGCCTGGGTTGGTACGTGGAGGGAGATACAGTCACGAAGGTAGGCGGGTCCCAAACCATTTAGGGCTTTGTAGGTGAGAACCTGTACCTTGAATTGGGACCGGAAAATAAAAAAACAAGAGTTCTTTTTCCCACCCTGGACATTCCACAAATATATAAACCTTACTTGCCTAGTTTCCAACAGACCTCTCAACCTCTGAGGATGCCTGCCATAGATGTGGGTGAAATATCAGGAGAGAATGCTTCTGGAACATTAGCCATACAGCCCAGAAACCTCACAGCAACTCAAAAACCCTATATTTTTATACTGCAAAGCACCTTATATTCTGAGAATTGAGTTGAACAAGCATTATTTTTTTTTCATTTTTATATAGCCCATTAACTATCTTGAATTGTTATCTGTGCAAGCAGAAGGGGAAAAAATCCTGTACGCCTTTCCCAAGGTCAGGAAAGAAGCAGCTGTGTGTCTAGTAGCAAAATCCTTGGGGCTTTAAGCAGGTCATGTGGGGTGTGTATTAAGAAGCAAAGTGAAACAAAACTGCTTAATCCTTTATCATGCTAAAGTACAGTAGAGCTTCTGTTCGATAAAAGGAAAAGCTGTCATCATGTGATGTCTCTTTAAGCGTTTCTCAGTTTTCTCTGTAGCATGAAGCAATCCAACAGATATAACCCCCGTGGAAAACCCGACCACATTTAATCTTCACCACAACATCTGTGTCAATGCTACAAGTGACCTTAGAAGTCCAAGGCTGAAATAACAGAGAGCAATGAATGTGAACGATCAACCCAATAGTTAAGAGAGTTTGCATTTCCATGCCAAAAATGAAGAGGGAAAAAAGAAAAGGAAAACAAGCCTATCTGTCTAAAAAGGGAAGGCAGACTTAAGAACTGATCTTCACTTCATTCTCTTTTAGGGTTAAGAGGATTTAAACGATTAGATCATGTTCACAGCTAGTTAAAATAGTATTAATGTTGCCCAGAGATTGCATTTAAATTGTAAAAACAAGCCGATTTCATCACAGCAGTTCTTCTTGTTCATCACTAGAAAGCAGATCTCTATCATGGTAGTTTTATCAAACACTAGTATTTTCTATTGGAAATTAAGCCAGTTACAACTGAGTTTTAAGTGTGAAATCATTTTTTTAAAGCTGCTGAACCATAAAAAGCAACAATCCTCTCAGCCATAAGGATGAACCAGCATGAAGCTTTGAAGAGCCACTATAGAAATTTTCACAGAAACTGTACATTAGGTTTCTGATGGATATCTAATGGAAATTGTACATATAATTTGAGAACCTTAACAGATAGTTTATGTTCTGATAGTATTGTATATTGTTGTTGTTGTTGCTCATTCGTTCAGTCGTCTCCGACTCTTTGTGACTTCATGGACCAGCCCACGCCAGAGCTCCCTGTCGGCCGTCACCACCCCCAGCTCCTTCAAGGTCAGTCCAGTCACTTCAAGGATGCATCCATCCATCTTGCCCTTGGTCGGCCCCTCTTCCTTTTACCTTCCACTTTCCCCAGCATAATTGTCTTCTCTAAGCTTTCCTTTCTCCTCATGATGTGGCCAAAGTATTTCAACTTTGTCTCTAGTATCCTTCCTTCCAATGAGCAGTCGGGCTTTATTTCCTGGAGGATGGACTGGTTGGATCTTCTCGCAGTCCAATGCACCCTCAGAACTTTCCTCCAACACCACAGTTCAAAAGCATCTATCTTCCTTCGCTCGGCCTTCAATTTGTTTTAATTTGTTTAATTTAACAAATTAAATTGCTTAATTTGTATATTAAGCAATCTAAAAATCTCAAACTGTTTATGTTAAAATACACATGAAAGCAGATATCTAATCCCATATGTGCAATGGGTTGAGCTGTTGAAAGGTTGGCAGTTTGAAGCCACGGATTGGGGTAAGCTCCCGCTGTTAGCCCTAGCTCCTGCCAACCTAGTAGTTCGAAAACAAGCAAATGTGAGTAGATCAATAGGTACTGCTTCAGCAGAAAGGCAATAAAGGTACCTATGCAGCCATGCCAGCAACACGACCAGAAGGTGTCTAGGGACAATAAGCTCCTCGGCTTGGAAATGGAACAAGAGCACCTCCCCGTGGCCAGAGTTGAGCACTCCCTCCAGAAAAACAGAGATGAAAGGGGAAGCCTTTACCTTTGTTCTGTGTATTTTTGTATGTCATTGTTATTCCACTGTATTAAAGGCATTGAATGTTTGCCTATCTGTGTATGTTGTAATTCGCTCTGAATCACCTCGGGGAGATAGAGCGGAATATAAATAAAATGTTGTTGTTAGATGAGTGGAAAGTAACATTGTGTAGAGTACTCTGCAGGTTGGCATCAAAGCTTCAGATCTATCATTCCAGATATGATACCTCTTTGGAAAGGTTTCACTTTGGAATACAATTTCCAAAATCCATCAGCCAGCAATGCCCAACTAATTATGGCTGCTAAGTCTGGGAATTGTAAGGTAACCCTTATTCTGCAGAATATTAGCTTTTCAAGTGAGTTGTAGGGCCAGTCTACACATTACAACCTGGCCTCATCCTGAGTTGACTCCTACACAGACTTTATCCACTTCCAGTGAGAACTGAGGGTTTGTCTGGGTTAATCAGACTTGCAGCAGTCAATGGACCACCACTGTAAGTAGCACCAAATTAATAAAACTCTCATTTGAATTTGGGGGAATTTCTTGAGGCTATGTTTAAACTATTATCTATTTCTATTATCTATTACTTCAAAACGATATTATCTAAACACAGAATACCTATGTTACATACATAATGTTTTCCTGCAGCAATGGACATTCCACGGATATATAAACACCACTTGCCTAGTTTCCAACAGACCTCACAATCTCTGAGGATGCCTGCCATGGATGTGAGCGAAACGTCAGGAGAGAATGCTTCTGGAACATGGCCATACAGCCCGGAAAACTCCCAGCAACCCAGTGATTCCAGTCATGAAAGCCTTCGACAACACAATGGACTAAATATATGCTTATAAAATGTGAACTTGAGGTGAGCTTCAAAGGTTATCTCACAAGTACCCCTTGGGGACTTCTAGTCAATTACAGCAGTCAGTTGCAAACTTGCAACAAAGCATTCATACTTTTCACTTAACGGACGTTTCACAACATGAGATCCAGCCTAGAATATCACACTTTCTGAATATTATTTATTATTTATTTACTGTGCTTATATACCGCTGTTCTCAGCCCGGGGGCGACTCACAGCGGTGTTAAGTAGTGGGAAAGACTTTTGTACATTAATATATAGATCAATCCACCCATCTGTACATAGTTAGGCAGATGTAATACATGCCATGTTAAAAGCCTTAAATAATGTCAAAGTCTCATTAAGCACTTTAAAGTACAAGGAGAAAGTAATAGCTATAGAGAATGGTTGTCTGAGACTTACTTGGTTTGGCATTGACAACAATATTCTCGGAGGTATGTTGTGAAGAAAATCTGCAGTTCTCGTCTTGATTTTCACTGCTTCCATATTCTATGACATCTACATGCCCAAGGGGCACACTCCACTTTAGCAAGTACCTTTGGCCTGACACAACACCACTACTTTCATGGGAAGAACTGAAATAAGGGCACAATAAAATATTTTATTATATGGGAGCCATCTTATCCAGAATTCAAATTCAGCCAAATAATCTGCAGTTCATAGATGATTCCTTTGCTTACATTTCTTCAGACTGCAACTCTATATGCACCTACTGAGGAACAACTTCCACTAAACATGATAGCATTTAGTTCTCGTCAGATGTATAAACACATGAGATATATAGATGACTGCATTCTTAATGTATCTTTTACATACAGCTGTAAATCAAGATATTATTTTCTTTTTAAAACTTTTCTGGTATTTCACAATTTAAGCTGTTTCTCTAATAGTAAAACTTTCCAAAAAATGTTTCCCTTCCTCTAGTTAAAGGACAACATGCTATCATCCGAAAGGAAAAATCAACTTTGCAGTTTCCTTTTCCTTCTCTTTTGTTGCCCCATAGGATGCAGCAATTTGAGGAAACACCTTGTGTAGCAATTCTGAGATCATTGTCATAGATTGTATTTATGTTTTGATGACTTTTCACATTATAAAGTATGTATACAACATAGTTCCAGATTTTTTTAAAAAAATACAGCATGGAGAGAAGTGCCAACTGAAAGGATAAAGCATACAATTTGAGACTGATAAGAAAAATCCATAAAAGAGATAAAGGGGGAAAGCAACAAACAAGACCAAAGTCAAAAGAGTCACAAGAGTCATCTGAATTATAGATATGTAAAAGTGGCCTTAATCTGGGGAAAAGGGGATGGAGAGTTAGGGAGATGCCTATAGCAGCAGTTCCCAAACCTCATTGTGAACCCACGTTTTTCGTTCTTTCATCTATTCCTATAGCCGGAGTGCTTTATATAATGTAGTAAGTTTGGAAACCGTTTACATATAACCACAAACCTAAAGGAAAATGCTGGATTTACACCTAAAGTGATGAATGAAATGATTTCATTTGTATACTTGAAATACTTTTGAATTTGTGCTTTATGTTCAACAGCTGAATACATAAATCCAGGGCAGCATCCAATTCACATCTAAATTTATTTTTTGTTTACGTATAAGCCCCAGTGGCACGGTGGGTTAAACTGCTGAGCTGCTGAACTTGCTGACTAAAGGTCGGAGGTTTGAATTCAGGGAGCGGGGTGAGCTCCCGCTCCAAGCTTCTGCCAACCTAGCAGTTTGAAAATATGGAAATGAAAGTAGATCAGTAAGTAATGGTGCCCCATGCAGTCCTGTTGGCCACATGACCTTAGAGGTGTCTACGGACAATACCAGCTCTTCGGCTTAGAAATGGAGATGAGCACCACCTCCCAGAGTTGGACACAACTAGACCTAATGTCAAGGGAAAGACATTACCTTTAACTTATAAGCTAAAAAGCTTGGTTTACACAGATAGGTGGACATGAAGGGGAGCACTGCACAGATAGCCTTTCCGAATACTGACAGCTGTACATGTCAGTCCTATTCAGTAGTCATTCAGTGGCACAGATTCATATTCTGGCATAGACTTTTAATAAAGATGTTTTAAACAGTTTTCAGATTTTTCAGAGAACCCCTGCAATGCTATTGTGCTATCCAGGGTGCCATGGAACATAGTTTGGGAAAATGACTATATCTGCTTAGAAGTTGCCATGGGTTACACAAGATTCGTATTAGCAGCTGATTCCCAAAATAAAGCTGGGTAGACTCACTCCCACATAACTGCACACAAAGTACTACATAGGAAGGTTCCATGGCAATATTGAGCTTTAAACCCACAGAATCCGGATACTGCAACATTTCTTATTTCTGCTCAACTTCTCCAAATATTCCTTATCAACCTGCAGTTATCTCAGGGATGGTTTGGGTGGAATTTAAGTGCTGAGAGGGAAATGAGCTCATTTTTTCCCTCTTGCTTCCTTTCTTTTGCTTCCGTATATACATGCACACATTGTCTGCTTCTATCCTGATTGCAGTGGAGGATGAAGGTGCGTGTTTATCAGGAAAAGTCTCTAAAGCACATATGGGCTAAAAAAGCCCTATGAGGAACGGCTTAAAGAGATGGGCATGTTTAGTCTGCAAAAGAGAAGGCTGAGAGGAGACATGATGAGGGCCATATATAAATATGTGAGGGGAAGCCATAGGGAGGAGGGCGCAGGCATGTTTTCTGCTGCCCTGGAGACTAGGACGTGGAACAATGGCTTCAAACTACAGGAAAGGAGATTCCACCTGAACATTAGGAAGAACTTCCTTACTGTAAGAGCTGTTTAGCAATGGAACTCTCTGCCCCAGAGTGTGGTGGAGGCTCCTTCTTTGGAGGCTTTTAAACAGAGGCTGGATGGCCATCTGTCGGGGGTGCTCTGAACGTGATTTTCTTGTTTCTTGGCAGGAAGTTGGACTGGATGGCCCATGAGGTATCTATTAACTCTATGATCCCATATGTTTTAGCAGTGTTCTGAGAAAACTGGTATAATCATTAAGGAAAGACTTTGACTGAGAGCGACTTCCCAACCCTACAGATGGAACAATACTGCACATAATTCCATCTCCTTTAATGCGACCTTTAAATGTATTATGCGTGTAGGTAGGAGGAGTTTCACATTCAATGAAGGAGTCAAGTTAGGAAATATGCTAAAACCCATTCCTCATGGAAATCAAGTAGTAGTATCTGCATGTGCAGTCAGATCTGTGTATCTATTTATGCTGTCCAGCTAAGTATTTACAATATCTGTATATACAGAAATACAGTATCTAGGCAAGAGCTGTAATTCTAAGTTGCATTTCCCAAGTTCCATGGGTCACTACAATATTAGTGGAAGTGAACAAAAGGTACAGTCCACTCCAGATACTTAAAAAATAAATCAAACCAGTGACAAAGAGATAGGTCTCATCAGAAAGTTGAGACTTCCTGCTTCTTTCCCAATGGCAGCTCCTCTAATGGAATGCAAGGGAAGGCCTTCAACAGTCCATAAAGGAGATATGTTTTTATATCAGAGGGTGAACAAGTGATTTTCTGAATAAAAAGGATAAAGTATTTCTACTATGCCAGGGCCCTGTTCCATGTTCCAAGTTATCAGTAGAAAAAGCCATAAATATAAAGCTTTCCGCTGAGCACTGCCACTTTTTCTCTCTCTCTTATGTCATTATAACTGGAAACTTACCGGATGTTCACAGTAGCACACATTAGGACATCATTTAACATAAACAGTCGTCGCTCTTTGGTTTTGACGATTTCCCCTTTGTCATTATAAACAGTTTCAAGCATGTCATCACTTCGTATGAGGTGTCTGTTTCCACTGCTAAGTAGCTTTTAAAAAGAAAAAAAATGAAAAAAATCATTAGTTAACACATTACCTACACTTCTATTGTTTTAAATACATGAATCAATATTATATGAATAGTGCCTTTGTCAATGTTTCCTGTTTGATGAGGATATTGTATCTTTCCTATTAAAGGTCTCATGTTACTATTTTGAAATTGCACAGTCAAACAGAAATGGCTGCCCCCGTATGTTGTTATGGCGCAAATCATTGGTTATTCTGGCAAAGTGTTGGGAATTATAGTCTGACAACAGCTGTAGTTACATGGGATCCCTCTCTGCTAAATAAGTAAAGGTAAAGGTTTCTCCTTGACATTAAGTTTAGTCATTTAGTGTTGCTGGGTACACAGAAGACCTGCTTCACTCTTGCAATCTCCAATAATATCTTTGGAGGATGACTTATCACCATTAACAAGCTACTTTTTAGGAATGGGAACCAAGGTGTTCCTTTGGGGACCACAACTCTCAGATTCTCACAATTTTCCTCGTGATTCCACCACATGAATTCTGTGAGCTGTAGTTCAGGAAATTAACACTACAAATCTCTTCATGTTCTTCATGTTCCATTACAGAAACAAGATAATGAAAAGCCCACACCCACTCAATTTCACCTACAATCTATTTCCTCTACAAGAGAAGATCAAATGATGCTGTTCCAACCTTGTTCAGATAACGCTCGTTCATGGCTTTTGCTATTTGTTTTATTTCGCAACGCTGATCCGCATCTCTTTTCCTTTCATTTAATTTTTCCGCCAAGGTTTCAAGTTCCGTGAGAGCCATCTGCAAAGGCAGCCTGTCAGGGTGGCCTTTTGTAGTGTTCTTCAACATATCCTAAAGAAACCCAAAATGGTGTGGGGAGGAGAGAGAAAGAGGGGATTAAAAAGCAGAAGGGTCATAGTCATAGAACAAGCTTAATTCAGGATTGTTTTTCTTGACTGTGATATACCCAGGAAATCTATCACCATCATCACCATCTTGATCTTAAAATCCACCTGTATCGCACACTTAGAAATATGATAGGCATGTCAAGTAAAGACCACAGGAAGGCAATGTCAATGCCTCATGTTTACAAAGCTCAATTCTGATATGCTGACTCACAAAGTCTAAGATGTATTCCTGCCGCTATTTGATGGACTAACCTTGGGACAATGGATAAAATTAGGGCATTTCTATCACATTTGAACTAAAAAGTAATTTCCAATCAATGTTTACAATCAATTGTTCCTTTGTTCTTCACAAATGCCTTATGAAAGTGTGAACTACACATTAAAACAGTACATGTTGTTGTTGTTGTTTATTCGTTCAGTCGCTTCCGATTCTTTGTGATCTCAGCCCATGCCAAAAGGCAAATCAAGCAGTCAAATAATAAAAAAGTCTATTTCCATTATAGCCACTGAAATCAAAGGAGGCCCAAGGATTTCTGAAAGAAAAAGAAATACACAAAAAATAACTTCAAAACAATATATTATTCCCATAGTGATAAAATCATGACTTGCCTGTAACAAGAGGATGAACTGAGGAAAGCGTTGTATGGGTTTCATCATTAAGCCATAGAGTGTAATTCTGTCAGGACTAGATTCCTGGCATTGCTGAAATAAGAAAATGCTTCATTAGGACCCTCACTTTTTCTCATAATGAACAGATATTAAGTTTTACTAACCTCCTGCCATATTGTTTTTGGACTGTAAAGTTTTCATTTGGATATTTTAGATAATTATTATATTTGTTACATACCTTTACACACACACACATATACACAATATATATTTATTTTTATATTCATATCCTAATTGTTTCTATTTGCTCTTTAGTATTCCAGTAAGTTAGGGCTTCCTCCCCTCTCCCCATGTGTCCTGCCATATTAGTCAACCAATAATGCAGTCTGAACCCTGCTGTACAAACCCTGTATTTCTTTCTGTTTCTGCAAATCCCATTAAAACAAACAGCAATACACTGATATTCAAAATCTACACATAATTTGATACTTTGCTCAGGGCCCTTCCACATAATATCCCAGAATATCAAGGCATGAAATCAGTACATTATGTGAGTGTGGACTCGGATAACCCAGTTCAAAAGCATATATTGTGGGATTTTCTGCCCTGATATTCTGGGGTATAGGGCTATGTGGAAAGGTCCTCAGTTAGAGGAGTCCCCTTTCCCTACACCTTAAGGAATTTGAAATCCAAATGCACTGACCTTTAAAAACTCAAGGAAGGCTGGTTTTGTGGCACATGATTTCTTGAGAATCCCCACAGCGGTGCTAAAATTGTTTACATACTCACTGTAAGCATCAAGCACCATAGATTTCGAAAACTGAAATATGGTAAAATATAATTAGAAGTTGTTCAAGATCCCATGCACTGTGGCAATTTAGGTTAAGACCTTTATATGGACCTAAGGAATCGGGAGAAAATTATGTTTGCTAGCATTCTTGACACACTATAGCTATGTTCCAGCAGGTGTTAAGAGGTTGAGATCTCCAAGATTACTCCTGTTTTTGTGCTTGTCAGGCACTTGAAAAGAAGTCGGCAGAATTCATGGAACCATAGAAATATTGCGAGCAAGCTTCTAGACCTTATTATACTGGGCTAATGGGGACTAGTTCAGCTTGCTGATCCTGATTCTTAGGCCCCTTCCACACAGCTGAATAAAATCCCACATTTTCTGCTTTGAACTGGAATATATGGCAGTGTAGACTCAGATAATCCAGTTCAAAGCAAATATGTGGGATTTTCTTCCTTGATATTCTGGGTTATATGGCTGTGTGGAAGGGCCATGTATCAATCAGACAGGAATAGTTAACCTATGCTACTCTGATGGTTTACATACCGATGCAACAAAGACATCTCCAATCATTTCCACAGAATCCCACTCAGACACACGACTGGCCAATGCGATTTGAAACAATGAATGGCACTGAAGAATTTCCTTAATTCGATAGAAGACCATCTTTAGTTTCCTCTCACTTAATAATTTGGGTTCCATCTCTGAAAGAGGTTTCTCATATTGCTGAAATTAAGAAAGCGAAATATTTAGAACACATGAGTCAGATTCAAGGCCAACTCCTTTAGTCATCATCATTAGACGTTATGACTAGAGCAAATGAGAGTTGTGATGTTAACAGATGTTTCCGCAACCTCAGAGTTGTTGGACTGCAATTCCCATTATCCCCTGTCTTCATGGCAAATAATGAAAAATAATGGGACTTGTTGTTCAATAACATCTGTGGACCCAAACTGGGTAAAAACTAAAAAGCACCAATCGGTACGTAAAAGAATTACAATTCGCCCTGTTTTCATGGATTCATCCATGTATTCATTCAAGGCCCTTTGAAAACATGGCTGATGTCGCCCCTGGTGAAAATGAACTTGACCCCGCTGATTTAGAAGTTACTACATTCTATGTTCAAATTAGAATATTACCTTTATTAATGAACACATTAGCAAAAATAAACGTAAATGAATTATCATTTGCTTTCAAATCTGTATAAAGGCCCTGGAATACCTCTAGAATCCTTTTGAGAGCATCCACGTAGTTTTTCTCACTGTCAACCACAGCACCTAAAATATATCTTCTCACCACCTGGTAAACAAAGCACACAAAAAATCCTATTCAAATCTGATTAAGGGATTTCTTTGCACAGTAACTGAACAGGGTTAACACTGGCCAGATTTTTGTTGGCATTCTGCACAACCTGCTTATAAGCAGAAGTTAGTGATAGTTAACCACAATGGGGGGAAAAACAGGAAGGAGATTGACATTATGCAGGAAAGGAGCCAGAGTTTCATCCTGTGGTTCAAACTATTCAACCAAGAATTAATGGAGTAGCAGTGTTATATCTGAAACATCCTCTGGGGTCAGGAATTCAAAGCTGTTTCCAAATGACATCTCAGATAACTTGATCTCTAGGAAATTGAATCATATGTGCAATCTTTCAAAGACAGAAAGGAAAGGTTGTTCAAAAGAGAGGGAACAAGAAGACATCAGTGGGGCAATGGCTCCCTCTCTCCTTCCCCAACTGGTATTTCTTTACTGCAAGTTTAAAATAAAATCATGGAAAATGATCATAAACATCTCACACATACAAGAAACCAAACAGGAGCTCAGTATACATTCCCTCTCTGGCTCCAGATCCAAATATGCAAAATTAAACTTAAAGTACATCTTTAAAAAGATATGACACATGGTTTCCTACTGAGTCATAGAATCATAGAGTTGAAAGAGACCTCGTGGGCCATCCAGTGCAACCCCCTGGTGCTTTGAATGGGCTTTGAATGTGCAGGAAAATCACATTAAAAGCACCCCCAACAGATGGCCATTCAGCCTCTGTTTAAAAGCCTCCAAAGAAAGACCCTCCACCATACTCCGGGGCAGAGAATTCCACTGCTGAACAGCTCTCACAATCAGGAAGTTTTTCCTCATGTTCAGGAGGAATGTCCTGAACATGTTCAGGACATTGTTCAGCGTCCTAGTCTCCAGGGCAGCAGAAAATAAGCTTGCTCCCTGTGACTTGCCCTCAGATATTTATACATGGCCATCATGTCTCCTCTCAGCCTTCTCTTCTGCAGGTTAAACATGCACAGCTCTTTAAGCCGCTCCTCATAGGGCTTGTTCTCCAGACCCCTGATCATTTTAGTCGCCCTCCTCTGGACACATATTGGTTCAATATTTTTGCATGATTTTTCATATTCATGAAATAGATAACATGCTTACTCATTCTAAAATGGTATCAACATATAGTCAGCCCTCCACATTTGTGGGTTTGACTTTGCAGATTTTATTATTCACTGATATAATTGAAATGTTCGTTCTAGGATTCTCTAAGTCCTCCAGTGTGGTTGAATGGTCAGCTTTCTGTGGAAATTGACCACAGAATCATGCTGGAGAACATAGGAATGCCTAGAGAGATGTTCACTCAGGTTTTAAAAAAAGTCCTTTTTTAATGTATGGGTTTTCACTTTCACAGGGGTCATTTATCCTTAGAACCAATGAATATTAAGGGCTGAAAATAGAAATAGCAGAAGATCGTTTCGACACAGTTTTTGTCTAAAAGCATGCATCCAGAGTTTTACACAACATCATTTTGGATACATCCAACAACAAAAGATTGTATTATGTAGAAATTGAGCAAAAAAGGTCAAACAAACTGCTTATTTTTGTTGAGTTATGCTTCGTTCTCTCCATATAAAGGAGACAGATGGTGCTACTCAAGCCTTGGAACAGGTCCTGGTATCTATTTTAGCCATCTTTATAAGTATAAGGAGCCCCCGGTGGAAGGAGCCCCCGGTGGCACAGTGGGTTAAAGCACTGAGCTGCTGAGCTTGTTGATCAAAAGGTCGCAGGTTCGATTCTGGGGAGCGGCATGAGCTTCCGCTGTCAGCCCTAGCTTCTGCCAACCTAGCAGTTCGAAAACATGCAAATGTGAGTAGATCAATAGGTACCGCTCCGGCGGGAAGGTAATGGCGCTCCATGCAGTCATGCTGGCCACATGACCTTGGAGGTGTCTACGGACAACGCTGGCTCTTCGGCTTAGAAATGGAGATGAGCACCACACCCCAGAGTCAGACATGACTGGACTTAATGTCAGGGGACTACCTTTACCTTTACTTATAAATGAATAAGATTATGTGGCATTCTTGTAGTTTTATAGAAAAGATTCCCAGCAGTGATAAAGTATGCATCAATCTCACCTCTGCAAATGCAGTTTCTATATATTCAGTACATGTAAAATAAGCAATTTTATGCACTGTCAATAAAATTACTCATAATTCAAGGGCTGTGCTGTTCATGTGAGTATTTTGTTGATCTTAGGAAGCTATGTCTTGATTTAATGTGTTGGCATGCTGGCTGATATCCGAACAGAGGATGGGCCAGGGATGTCCATGCCTTGGTCCTTTCATTATGGGCTGCTACTTCCCGACAGATGTCAGGTGATGCAATATCAGCTAAGCTTAAAAGTTTATTAAATCGCAAAAACTTTTTTTTTTTGTGGGACAGTCTGAAGCATATTTTGCTATAGATTTTTAATGAATATCTCACTGAGTCTCAATCAATTTAACATAGTTTGTGGCAGCCACAAAAACAAAGTTTCTGGAGCACAACTACTATTTCCAAAGTAAGTACTGGGAATTAAACGGGAAATTACATTTTCAAAACAGGAACAGATTTTTTTTCAAATTTTGTTATAGAGGAAACATGCTTTTGTACCCTAAAACAAAAGTGTTCCCCAAGTTTTCACAATATGGAAAGGAGGTCCAGAATGAGCCCATGCACTGCTTTATCATTCAAATTCATTTCTTATTTCTTCACTCAGGACGTTTCTTCCTTTTTAGAATAACCATTCTCTAATCGACCATATTTCCTCATGTCTGGGATTCATCCCTTCCCACAAGCTACAGACATCTTGGTCTCTTTGGTCATGTGGACTAAGAAGCAGGTAGACAAATACTCTGAACAACCAGCCAGCCAGTCAGACTTTTGTAGCATATTTACAAACATCTCATTTTCTGCTTAAGGAAACCTGCAGTTGTTACAGCTATTGACTAGGGATGTTCTCAAAAAAGCAGCCTATATTTTCCTGAATTTCTTGGAATTTATAAAAGCTTTTTAGAAAAGCAATATCTAACACTGCCATTTTAATATTTTATTTATTGCTAAATGTTACATTTAGGACTGTACAGTCATGTGAAAAGTACCCACGGCTCATCCAAAATTACTACTGTGATCAGGGTTTTATTGCATAACATAATTAGTCCTGATGGGAAACAATTTTGTAATGGGATTATTTTCATTTCAGAAAGCAAAGGTGGTTCACCACAGATTTTCCTCTACTAAAATTCATCCCAAGAGCCAAAATAGTTCTGGTTCTTGCCTTTAAAAAAATCCAGGAAAGCACAAATACCTAGTGGAAAAGAAGAAGCAGGATCCTATTATGCCACCATGTGGCAAACAGCAGCACATACAGGTTTAAATAACGATTTCTTCTTCAAGTAAGGGATTAAAAGAGGAAGAGCTTGAAAAAGTGGTATTTTGGGCATTAGATCATCCTGACAACATACTTACTCGTAATATTTGCTCAGGGAAGTCTTTTAGTTTTTTGTTTTGTTTTGGTTTTTTTAAAAAAACAACCTTTGTAAGGGCTGAAATATTCAACAGGCTGATCACTGGCAGTAAGTAGCACAACCTAATGGAAGCTTTAGAAATTTGGTTAAGTTTGAGCTCAATCTAATGGGCTTCTGTGTTAAAACGAATAGAAAAGGAATCTCACCTGGAAGATATATGGGTCAAATCTCTTCCTGTGTCAGTGTTGGCCAATGCTATTATTTGAATGCCTAGAATCCACAGGAAATATCCATTGGGACTAGGTAGATCCGTGGTTCCCAACCTATGGGCCCCCGGGTTTTCCAGTGTGCTTTCAATTAATTTTTCCTGTCCCCATTGAGTATAGCACTGTATTCTGACCCTCATATGGTCTACCTCAGCATGTTTTATGACAGTATTTCCTGCCCAATCTACTGGTTTATCACACTTTTCTTGCGCTCCTGTAAAATGTATCATACTCATTGAATTTGTACTTCAGCTATGTTCTTTCTTTTCAGCCATATTGCTCTTATGTTGTGTATAATTTTGTTGTATTGCTTTTATCTGATGTTTTTATTTAGTAAGTGTTTTACTTGTGTGTTTTATTTGTTTTTGGGCTTGTCCCTTGTAAGCCACCCCGAGTCCCCTAGAGGAGATGGTTGGCGGGGTATAAAAATAAAGTTATTATTATTATTACATTGGCCTACAACTCCCAGAAATCCCAGCCAGTTTCCCAGCTGTTAGGATTTCTGGGAGTTGAAGGCCAAAACACCTGGGGACCCACAGGTTGAGAACCACTGAAACAGATCCAAACTACTAAAGTGTCATCATTATTACAGAGCACTGGCTAAACCTGTAATTATTATTGAGGCTTACATTGTTCATCTCTATTGTCAGGTTCTCTTGAAAAATCAACCCAGAATGTTGGATGATGATGATGATGATTCAACACTCTGGGTTGATTTTTCAAGAAAACCCAACAGAATAATTATAATTATAATTGTTGTACTCCGCCTCCATCTCCTAGAAGGGACTTGGGGCAGCTTAAATGGGGACAAGCCCAATGAACATAGATAAAATAACACATTAAAATTCATAAAAACAGCATAAAGCAATATAAAAACAACCATCAAACAGACAGCCAGTAGCCTGAGATCGCAACACAGTTCTGGGCTCAGGCGGGGGACTGATACAATCAATTGTGAGGTAGGGCTGATAGATAAAGTGCAAGTGCTGGATGACAAAAATTGGGGATAGAAGGTAATTTAAGGTGGAACACTATATCTCTAAGCAGGGGGCAATAGTAAAGTGCAGGGACTGAAAATTGGGTCATCCATTTTACTTCAAGAAAGAACCCTGCTTAGTTTTGCACCTCAGTGTCGTAGAAAATATTTATTTTTATTTATTTATTTCATTCACTTATACCCCGCCCTTCTCACCCCGAGGGGGACTCAGGGCGGCTTACATGAAGGGCACAATTAGATGCCCAAATCACACAACAAGTAATCCAAAGAATATAAAATTCAGCAGTTAAATTAAAACAACAGTACATAACAATACATAATAAAATCAAATGAAGAGTATATCCATGAAAGGTTCTATATAGTTCATTCTACAAATGTATCACAGAAAGGCACACAGGGAGATTTTCTGCTATGATGCAAAAGCATGCAATGCACACACCTGTTGTTGGGATAACCCATCCGGCATAGGAGTCATGATTGCCTCTGTGTTCATACAGTCAACATCAATAAAGAGCTCCTCTTCTTCCAGGCAGGATGATCTATGATCTAGAAACAATTCATTATTCTAGAATTACATTCACACAGAGGAAGACAAAGAGAAAGAGATATAAAGGGATAGGCAAAGTGCAGTCTTGGGACTGAAAGCAGCCCACCCAAAGGTGTTCTTATGCCTCTTGGTCCCTTTACAGTTCCATGGCTAACTTTCCTCCCATGTCCATCAAAGTGTACTGTCACTTCTGGAAGTCTCCAGAGCAGTGATTCATCTTTTTAAAAGGTTTCAAAAGGATATAAGAGACTTCAGGGCCTTTCCACAGGGGAAGGCACTGTTTTGATGGCATTCTTGTCACTCACTGGAGGGCCTCCCGAATAGAAAATTGGCTTCCTCAGTTGATCCCTTATCATCATACTTCTTATTATTATTATTTGAAACACAATAAGATGACTCCACAGCAAACAAGATCACTCTGCTGGCTGTTGTATTGGATCACACGTCGGACACTTCCCAAGTGTCTAGGACTGTGTGATGTATCAGCGAATAATGCGTGCAGATCCCAATAAGGTGGCCTTTTGCAGCTGGCAGATGGTTATTAATATTATTATCATTATTATTTCTATCCTGCCTTTTCCCCAGTTTGGGACTCATAGTGGTTTACAACCATTTAAGAATGGCTTGTTAACCAATCCAATAGTAAAATCAGGTTAAACATATCTTATTAAACATGAATACACACTATAATAATTAGCAAGATCCAACACAGTGCTTAGGTGAGATGGGTCTTTACAGACACTAATCAAATGCATTGCTAAGCCAAAAAGGCTTTACTTAGCTGTAAAAAGAAAACAGAGTGAAAACACACTTTCTCCAGGAAAGGAATTCCAGAGCCTCAGAAGGCCCTCTCTCATGTTCCCATCAGATGTACCTGTGAGGGTGGTGGGGCAGAGAGAAGGGCCTCCTAAGCAAAACAGAAAGGCTCAAAAGGGAAAATACACTCCTTCAAATAATTTCTACCTCATTCATATAAGGATTTGTGGGTCAAAACCAGTACTCTGAATCGTGCCCAGAAATGGACTGGTGGAATAGTTATAACAAGGGAGTTAGCACATTGCAGCAATCCAACCAGGATGTAACATAGGCATGTGCCATTGGAGCCAGATAGGATATCTCAAGGTAGGATGTCTCAAGGCAGCCAGTGCCTAAGCTTTAACTCACACCTAGTCACCACTGAAGCTGACCTTTCAAGCTTAGAGTTGAGCCCAAGCTACCATCGTCCATCTTCAGAGGGAGTGTAAATTAATCTAACACAGGGTGGATCCCGATTCCATGAACTGGATTGTGTGAGTCTATACTGCCATATAATCCAGTTCAAAACAAACAATCTGGATTTTACATAGCAGTGTAGGCGGGGACTAAGTGTGCACTGTCCTTAAAAGAATATGCTAGCATGCTGGAATATTGTAACAAACAATACACTAGAATGTATATACCACAATTCAGGAGTGAAGAAGAAGCCGCCGCCGCAAGTCAAGGTGGTCCCAGTGGTGTTCTGCACACTGGGTGCAATGCCTAAAGGCCTTGGCCTGCACTTAAACACAACTGGCGCTGACAAAATTACCATCTGCCAGCTGCAGAAGACCACCTTACTGGGATCTGCATGCGTTATTTGCCAATACATCACATAGTCCTAGACACTTGGGAAATGTCCGACATGTGATCCAATACACCAACCAGCATAGTGATCCTGTTTTCTGTGTTTCAAATAATAATAATAAACTTTATTTGTCTACTGCCCTATATCTCCAAAGGGACTCAGGGCAGTTTCCAACATATAAGGGAAACACTCAATTGCCACAAAGACAAATTACATTAAGACAAACACCTAGACAGTATGAAAAACAACCTAATTTAACTTAATAAACAAAATAACAAAAATGAAAGCACAATGAAATACATAAATCCTGCTAAAACACTAAAAATAAAAATGGCAGCATGAGATCCCACACATTGTAAGCACTGACTTATGTTTCACAATGTGTGCCTATGCCACTTTAACATTCAGATATGTATATAGTAGGCCCTTGGTATCTGCTAGGATTTGGTTCCAAGATCCACTATGGACATCAAAATCAGTGGATGCTCAAGTTCCATTATATACGATGGCATAGTAAAATAGTGTCCTTTAAAACCAAGGTTGGCTTTTTGGGGGAGAAAATGGGGCAAAGAGAGACTATTTTCAAGCTGTGGGTGGTGAAATCTGCAGATGCAGAAAACATGGATATAGGTGGCCAACTGTCATTCAAATCTATTTCCTTTCTCAGGGCCCTTCCACACAGCCCTATAACCAGAATATCAAGGCAGAAAATCCCACAATATTTGCTTCGAACAGGGTTATCTGAGTCCACACAGCCATATATCCCAATGCATAGCTGGGATTTTGTTCAGCTATGTGGAAGGGACCTAAGAAGCACATTCAAGAAGGCAGCTCAATACATCATCTTTATGATATGAAAAATCACCAAAGTCAGCTGATTGATATAGCAATAGAGTCATTTGTTTTACAGTTGTTGCTATTTCGGATCAAGAGACTGGCTGGAATCTATCACTCTCTTTCCAAGTTGCTCAAACCAGCACGATCATGGGCATCTTTTCCTGATATGGGAATGAAGTAATAAATTACACTATGTAACACAATTTGGAAAAAAAAAATCTGTTCCTGGTTTGAAAATGTTACTTCCTGCTTAATTTTGCGGTATATATATGAAAGTAGTCGTCATAATCCAGAAACTTTGTTTTTGTGGCTGCTGCAAACTACGTTGAACTGGTTGAGACTATGAGATATTCATTGAAAAACTACAGCAAAATGTGTTGCAAGATGTCCTTAATAAAATTTTTCCATGTTTTATGGTAGAATCAATTACGAAATGACATTTATAATCCAGGAACAAAAATCGTGTTATATAGTGTTATATATATAACTTCACTTACAAATTAGCTGAATTTATTTAAACACAAAAAGAGCTTATGTGCTCTGAAGCCTTCATTTGAATAAATTAACATTACTATTCTTGTCCTAAGTGACAACAATTACATTTATCTGGGAAGAGAAAAAAATCTGCTTGATTACCCACTATTGCACAATTTCTCTATGGAATCAAATTGGTAAAGCACTTCTTGATATGCAAGGTACAGCTTTCGAAAGGAAATAAGGATATTGGGTAGTTGTAAGTTTTTTGGGCTGTATGGCTATGTTCCAGAAACAGATCTCACAACTCTGAGGATGCCTGCCATAGATGCAGGTGAAACATCAGAAGAGAATGCTTCTGGAACATGGCCATACAGGTCAAAAAACTTACAACAACCCAGTGATTCCGGCCATCAAAGCCTTTGTCTATACAATAAGGGCACTGTTTCTAAAAGCTGGGAAACTTGCACATTTTCAAAATGAGTACTAATGTTTTTAAAAAGTGTTGGCCACATACCTTGATTAATAAATGATTTAGTTCTAATGAAGCACCGGCCCTTCTTTACAGCAGCTTTAGTCTTTTCAAGTCCATCTTTGGTGCCTTCCCTAGCAGCCCTCATGAGTTTTTGCACCTGCAAAACAGGGAGAAACACATTCTACAAGTTCAGTGTGAAAAATAAGGGTAGAATTCAGGGGTTTAACAACAATACAGCAGGGACTGCTTTCAAATACTTGCTCTGGAAAAGAACACTGTCAAGTTGTGGTGGCCAAAGACAACATCTCATGCTTTGTATCAATCCAGGTTTACTATCAGCGTGCGGCCTTTCACCTTTCATGTTTTTCAAAGGAATCTTCCATATTCTATGCACATGCCTTCCATACAAATTTTCCACTAATGATGTTTTTGTTTCCCACTTCACAAAACAAAACAAACCAATTCGATTTTTCCTATTTTGAAACAGAAACCCAGGAAGCACATAATAAATTAAAATGGAGTTCTGTTGCTTTCTGCACTAAGAACTGCAGCATTCAAAAGAGTTATAGGAGCAAGACACCATATCTGCCCATTCTCATTTGAATTGAATTAAAAATAGGTTAAGGAATGTCAGCACTATATTCCTAAAACACTATTGCATTTGTAATGCATTTGAAGTATTCAATTCTTTATACTTAATTTGACAGAAGCATACATTTATTAACATAATAAATTAAATTCTAGAGGGATGACCTACACCCTACTGGAGATACAGGAATAAGGTGGGAATCAAATGACCTGGAAATACCTTGACTTGCATAGCTCACCTTACATTAGCATGAAGACGAATAGCTCACATTTTTAACATCTAATTTCATTTGCAGATTTATTCTCCCTGGCTCATTCAAATAAAGTGAAATTCTACATAAGTAAAGGTAAAGGTTTCTCTTTGACAGAATCTGACTCAGGGGGGGGGGGGTGTTGCTAATCTACATTTCTAAGCCAAAGAGCCAGTGTTGTCCAGATGCCTCCAAGGTCATGTGGCTGGCATGACTGCATGGACCACAGTTATCCTACCGCCGGAGCGGTACCTACTGATTTACTCACATTTGCATGCTTTTAACCTGCTAGGTTGGCACTCTGCGCCCCAGATTTGAACTACCAATCTTTTGGCCAGCAAGTTCAGCAGCTCAGCGATTTAACCCACTGCACCACCGGGGGCTCCTAAAATTCTATATAGGCAACACTAATATAATCTATTCTTGAATTGTTTGTAATAGGAGAATTGGTTAGCACTAAATCTATGTATATAATAAAATCATACATGTATGTAAATATTTCCCAGGATGGCTCTCATATTCAGTGAGTCACATCATGGCTAGTGCCAATGGATCTAGATCAGTGGTTCTCAACTTGTGGGTCACCAGGTGTTTTGGTCTTCAACTTCTAGAAATCCTAACAGCTGGTAAACTGGCTGGGATTTCTGGGAGTTGTAACCCAAAACACCTGGGGATCCATAGGTGGAGAGTGAGAGCTGAGAGTGCTCTGGAGGGCTCTCAGCTGTCATGTGCCTTCCTCAAGCCATTCTCCTGGCATATGGATGGGGCCGCTAGCATCGTCCTTATGTCAGGAGGAAGGTGAGACACACGGTGGCTGAGAGCGCTCCAGAGGGCTCTCAGCTGCTATGTGCCATTCCCACCCCCCTTTCCATCTTTTTGGCATAAGGACATGGTGGGTTGCTGTGTCCTTCTGCCAAGAGGACAGGGAAAATGAGGAGGGCCTGAGGTAAGCACCCAGGGGGCCGCATCCACCCCCAAGGGCTTAGTTTGCCCATGCCTGCTTTAACGGGACCATTCATAAAACCTGCAACCAAACAGTGACTATTTTTCTAATCAATAGCATTACAACCTAACTCAGGCATCACCTGGTACCTAAGCTAGTATATAGTTATATATAAAGAGAAAAGCAACCTAGTTAATCTCATAGGCATTCAAATGCATCTACTGCATGTCTGCGACTGGAAGTCACTTTGACAATGTCTGCTGTCTTAATGCATAATGAAATATCCAATCCATATGGATTGAATTGCAACAGCGTAAACTAAAAGTCAATATGGAAGATGAAGTGAGAATTGAGAAGAGCAGCAGAGCAAAGAGATGTTGACATGAATGTCCTTGGCAGCGTTCTTTTGATGTAAGTAAGGCAGACAGCCTAAATTTGAATACACAGTGTCCAATTTTTCCCATCGGTTTTCTTTATTAAGACACACATTCATTGTGTTTGAAGAACAACAACGTTAACATTTATCTTGTGACAAAAATCAACTACGCTACCTTCAGCTCATGTTTTTGCTTTAGTTGCTGAATCTCTACTGCTCCCACCGTGTTTGCCATCAAATCTTTCATCTTTTTCTCATAGTGCTCCTTTAAACGGGTTAGGTCATGAGAAAGCTATAGCATACAAAAAGATACAATCTTAAACTTTACTCTAAAAGCACTGGCGCTGGGTCATGCATGCGGGTGGCTAAATAGGAAAAAGCGTTCAGAATCAGCCAAAGGAACAATGTTTTGCTTTTAGGACAACTTCAACTCAGCAAAGGGTTTGTTTCCAGTTCACTGGCAAGAGAAATGTTCCAAATGTGCAGAACCTGGTATCTTTTATGCATCTACAACAATATTAACCTTGCAAGGTACTCCTACTTTACAATCCTTAAAATTTTAGTAGTACTAATACTTATATGTCTCATCATTTAAAAGTTTGTTGGGATTAGAAATGTATCTTATGGTTAGACTCAAGGGTTGGATGTTGCTTTAATGAATCTCTTTTATTGTTATTTGTTCTGGAAACTGCCAAATTAAAGAAAAATACAAAATGAAGTTTGTCCTTTGTAAAAAAAAACACTGGATTACTGAAATGTCTCTTAAGTAATGTATCTGCCCGGTGCTGTAAACTATACCATGACATGATGGGCAATAATGGGATTGTCACAAATAAATTCCAAGGCATAAACCAGGCTTGCTCATATAATGGAAAAACAATTGTAAACTTTCAAAACATACCAAATCCCTCTCCCAAAAAATATTGAAATATGAGTTATAGGAACTCATACGAAATGGGTAGAAGAAGGGAAGCCAGCACTGATATTGTACAGAGATTAAAAAGGTTGTGCTCATGGTTAAAAATAAAGATATAGAGAGAAAAGTGGTGGGAGGAGGGGGGAGAAAAAAAATGTAATATGAACGAATCTGTAAAGAATGTGAATGGGTAATATAGAAATATGTTATTATAATGTAAACCTACAATAGACATTTATTATCTGTTCAAATATGTTAATTTCTTTTCAATTTAAAAAAATTAAAAAGAAAAATGAGTTATAGGCGGCAATACATTGTCAGCTAAGAGCAGAATAATATCTCTTGATCAAAACTATCAAAACGTATCAAATCACTTTGGCACAGGGTTTAGAAAATTGCATTTTACAACATACTAATGCATATCCTTGGCATGTTTTTCCAATTCCAAATTTTCCAAAAATTTGTTAAGACGGATTTGGTACCTTTTGGAAACAGACTCCACAATTACACATTCAACAACAGCTTTCTTTTTTTTAAAAAAAAAAAGGCTGGAAATAGGTTTGCACATATTAAAGATCTTGTCTAGAATATGAACCATACCAGTATCACTGGTATGGTTCTGCTTATAGAGTGTCAGCAAATACAAAACAGCCATTTGTTTGCATTTCTCCCAAAAAAGTATCCCTCTGCCCAGATTTTCTTTTCCTTCTCTCTTTAAATTACTATGTTTCTGGTTTGAAATCAGACGCATGAGAAAAACTGGACAACGTAAAGCCTGGGCAACTATGGTTCTAGGAAGCGATATGCTATCTAAACACCAAGCGAGAAAAGTGCAGCCGTACTTGTCTCCTGTGGTTGCCACGCAGGAAAGAACTGGGCATTCCATTTTTACCCTCTGAGTCACTCTGCTCCTCGTAGCTTTCAAACTCACTTGAACTCCACCCATATTCTAGGGAGCTATTTCCACCTTCTTCTCCATTCTCAACATCATCGTAAATCATCTCTTCTGCATGCATGAAATATACAAAATAATATGTTATTAACTTACAGAAAAAGTTGAGATTCAATGTAGATTCTATTTGAAAGCCAAATAAAGACAGTGGCAAGCAGAAGTGGCAAAACATTGGATAGAACGTACTTTTCAGTTCAGGACATAAAAATTAGCGAAGAAAAAAGAGAGAGGGAAAGATGAGAGAGAGCATGCAAATGTTTTTATTACGTCGCTATACATTTTAGGATTGGAAGAATCTCATTTCATAATGTGGTTTCATTTTTCTCTTTTTTTCTTAGACTGGGTCTGCACTTCCATATAATGCAATTCGAAACTACATTGTGTGGTCTGTGCAGGCTCATTTAAAAGTTAAAACTGCATTATATGGATTACACTGACCATTTGACTTGTGCAATCTGGGTAAACTGTGATCCATTTTAGTGTCCCCAATTTCAGTGGGGTCCAAATCCATTTTTGGGAGCCTCCCAAATTTGACAAAATCCGTTTTCGATCTGGGAAGCCGAAAGGTTTGTTTTCTATCCAGCTCATTATGGGGGACGGGGGGGGGGGGGGGGGGGGGGGGACGACACTTCCCATACTCCCCTTCCTGTCATTTTAGACATCATTTAGCCTTTCATCCTTCATTAAGACCTGGATTAAAAGCATCAAAGTTAAAATATCACTCTTTCTGCGATTCTTCTGTCTGTAGAGGAGACCAGATGTAATGCTTAGTTAAAGCTAGAAGAGACAAGCGCTGTAGGCATGTATGGCACTCTCTCCCTGCAGCATGCAGCTTTCCAAGGCATTTTAAGGAGGCTTCCCCACTTCCCAGGGAAGGAAGAGCGATTGACCTGGAGCTATCCTACCCTGGGTTTTCTTTAACAAGTCCTCTCCTTTCTCTTGATTTGCAAACCCTGGAGTGATGCCTTTTCCCCCCTCACACTTTTCCTTCTAGCACTCCCTCCTATACTCCACTTGTAACCAAAGGCAGCCAGTTTTTAACAGCCACTTTTCTGCTGTGGCAGAAAAAAACATGGAGGCTGAGCCCTGCCATTATGGCCACTGGAACAAGCTGGATTAGCCAAAAGGAATTGGCCAAATTGAATCCGTGCACAAGCCTACTGACCATATAATGCAGTTTCAAACAGCATTGTACAGCAGTGTAGATCTAGCCTCTATCTTCCTTTTGGTCAAAAATGCTTGAAATAAAAAACTAATATCATATATGGTCCTATATTGATTAAAGAATTACAGGTGCATCATATTTCTTTCAAGTTCTACCAACTTCATTTTTGTTATTTATAATAATAATGAAAACCCATGCCAGTCTATTCTATTTACATAATGGGCAAATATCCCCCCCAAGACTGATTTGTTACAAATTACAACTTTATACAATAAAGCAAATTATCCTATATCTTTCTTCACTAGATCAAACTGCAACAATCATACTTCAGTTAATATATCCTCTGATAGTGAACATTGATTTTTGCAAATTCTTTTTTTGTGTAGACAGACAAATATAGTTGGATTCCTGTTCTTTCCCCACTTGCACTTCATTATGTTGTTTGCTAGACATGCAAAAGTCTATGTTTCTCCAGGCTTGGATAGGCACAAAGATACTTTGCAAAAATGCTGGGTGTTTTTTTACTGGGGATTGGCTGTATGAAGCCCAGAAGCAACACTCTCACAAGTTGTTGTACAGACGCATTTGAGACATTGCTTGTGATAAACTGTTCATAAGAATAGAGGGGAAAATGAAAGCCTCTCATTTGTTTTCCTTTTCCTTCCATCCAAACATATTTGTCTATGTGATCATCACAAGCAGGTGTGTGATGAGAGATATCAAAGTTTTTTTGATCACATTGGCTATCATACCATCACAGTATTATGTATGCTCAGCTGAAACCACATGATGAAGAGTAAATAACCTTTATAAACAGCAAGGGCAGAAGAGGGGAAATTGCTATGAATTACAATGAAATGAAAAGATTATGTTTCGGAGGAGTGGGCTTTCTTTCATGAGGGCAGGGAGACTATTCCATATGAGGCTGACAGTTTGGCACTTTAGTTGTGATTTGAAGGCAGCTACTTTTAACTATAGATGGTTTGAGTTTTAAACTGTGTTTTTATTTTATGTGTTAATAGTGGTTGTTTTTGCATCTTTATGTGATATTGTTTTTATATTCATGTACCGTTTATGTTATATGTTATATACTACACATATAGTGCCTTGTAAGCCATCCAAAGTACCTTTTGGGAGATGGTGGCAGGATATAAATAAAGATGATGGTGGTGATTATTATTATTATTTGAAACACAACAAGATTAGTCCACAGCAGACAAGATTACTCTGCTGGCTATTGAATTGGATCACACGTCGGACACTTCCCAAGTGTCTAGGACTGTGTGATGTATCAGCGAATGATGCGTGCAGATCCCAGTAAGGATCTGGCAGATGGTAACTTTGCAGCTGGCAGATGGTAACTTTGTCAGTGCTGATTGTGTTTAAGTGCAGGTCAAGGTCTTTAGGCACTGTACCCAGTGTGCCAATCGCCACTGGGACCACATTTACTGGCTTGTGCCAGAGTTTTTGCAGTTCGATCTTTAAATCCTCATATCGTGTCAGCTTTTCCTGCTATTTCTCTGCACCTGGGATTGCGACATTGTCCTTCTGTCACCTGGGATTGCGACATTGACGATCCATACTTTGATGATGATGATGATTACTATTATTCCCTGACACTACCAAAACCAGTACATTAACTGGTCCAAATCACCCCAACTGTATTGACCCTCCATAGGGTATGATCTATATGTTTGGGACACAGAAAGTGACCTGAAGTTGGGGAAAGGATTGGTAGGTGTTGTACTTTTTTGGTAATTGTTTCAATTCAAAAAGAATTTAAACTCATACCTGGTTCAGAGTCTGAGTTTTCTCTTGGCACATCATCATATATTACCTCATTTGGATCTAAAATCAAGGGAGGGAGGAAAGAAAATATTTCCATACATAATTATCAGAGTGTAGTTTAAACAACAAAACAAAAAAACGTTCATCAGGAAAGTATTAGAATAAGGATTTGTAAATCAAAACATCTAATTCTAGAATGGTTTCAGTGACTTTCCATGACTTTCATATCAGAGAGGTTGGAGACTCCATGTTTTCTGTACAATAAAAGCTGCTATCCAAGGTACTGGATTATATGGGGACTGGGGTAGGATTCAGCACTTTCAATAGCTCCTCTAAAGAGTGGATTCATTACCCAACTCATCTGCAGGCAACCTGTTCCTTTGATGGCAATCTATGGGCCCTTCCAGACAGGCCCTATATCCCAGAATCTGATCCCAGGTTTTCTATTTTTAACTGCATTATATGAGTCTGCACTGCCAGATCATCTGGGATAAACAGAAAACCTAGGATTAGATCCTGAGATATAGGGCCTGTTTGGAAAGGCCCTATATAACAAATGAGGAGGCAACATTTTCCCATTTTTTAAAAAGCCTTGTTCTTCCAAACGCCTTCTCTACAAGACTTTTTAATGGTGAAACTGAGTGCCTTTATAATTCAGAGCATGTTGAAATGCACATTTTAAAGTGCTGATTGTTAATACACCTATTAACATTTTAATCTCATTTAGATGTGTAGAACATATGGATTTATCAATGGGCTGCCATTTTCATCAATCTTGGTCAACTATAGTAAGGTATAAGTAGTTCTCAACCTGTGGGTCCCTTGGCGTTTTGGCCTACAACTCTCAGAAATCCCAGCCAGTTTACCAGTTGTTAGGATTTCTGGGAGTTGAAGGCCAAAACATCTGGGGACTCATAGGTTGAGAACCACTGGTATAATGAAAGCTGTAGCCCAATAACAACTGGGTGGCCATACATTTTTATGGTCTGCAGAAAGGCTTCAAAATCAATCTCTTTACACATGACAGCTCCTTATCAATTTCATGCCTATAATGTAGTAGAGACTGATATTCAGTTTCCAGTTGTGTCATCTTTGTATCCCTCCAGAAGTATTAGAGGAAAAGTCACAACTACTGCTGTGTTTTGCAGTCTTTGTATAAAGCTCTGTGAAATTCTCACAAGGTACTGTCCCCTTCCCAATTTCATCTGTTCCCCTATGAATCAGTATTCATACAACCTGCATATATGCAGGTACTGCAAAATATTTTTCCCTCAATAAAATCAAAATAAATTGAACACAAGCTGGATGCAAACTACTGTTTAACACCAGAGAAACAGGAATGTCCATATTCTAAATTGAATCTGGTAGATTACTGCAATAGTCTCACAAGCTGATTGATTGAATTTGGTATTTCCCAAAGCTATCCAAAATGGTGAAATCTGTCCAAGCGTCAAGAAATGGAAATAAAAAATAATTCCAGATTTAATTCTGAAATTTCAATACATTTTGGTTTTCAGTTGATAACTGAGGGCCTTTCCACACAGCCCTATATCCCAGAATATCAATGCAGAAAATCCCACATTATCAGAGTGTGGACTCAGATAACCCTGTTCAAAGCAAATATTGTGGGATTTTCTGCCTTGATATTCTGGGATATAGGACTGTATGGAAGAGCCCTGAGATTCATCAACTGATCAAAGAGAATAGCTGTAGTCATCAGTACTTACTCTTCATCCATTCTGTGTTTACAGGATCGGCAACCCATTTAGTCAAAACATTATCATCATTCTGCCCCTGGTTATCTTCACTTTAAAATAAGCACACATGAGAAAAAATAAAGAAGATTAAAAATTACTTAGGACACAGTCTTATACACAAAATCCCACTAAGTTCAACAACGTTTATTCCAAGTCAAGGTGCAAAGGACTGGACCCTTAATAACTAAAAATCTTTCTGGATACTGTTCTGTTATCTGAGCCGAGGCCACAAGGGGTTGTCAGAGAGAGGAAGATAGTTCATTTTATAGGGGTGGAGGGTGGGTTGAAAGAGGAAAACTATTTCCCCATTTTCCTGTTATTCCCTCACCCATGTTCCTGTCATGGAAACAATCCTTGTTTATGATATGGGAAGTGGGGAGGGGGAATAACCAGTGAAAATGAGGGGAATGGTTTTCCTCCTTCAACTCCTCCCCACCATAAAATGGATTATCCTTTTCTCTCTAGCACACCCTAGTGGCCTCCACCCAGATAATGGAACAGTACCACTTTCTCTCTGAAATTACAGTGATGTGGAATATTTTTTTTTCTCCCAGTTAGATTTTTGTTACTTAAAACGTATTTGGCCACTGTATCCATAACGTTTCCATCCAGTTACCCCTCCTACATTTTCTCTGTTTGTTTTTGAGTAAGAACTGGAAAGCAAGATGGAATCTGCCTTTGTATGACAGATAATAACAATCCTGAGCACGGAGGTAGTTCCATGTGTGCCCTAATGGATCACTGACAGTATGCTACCCACTAGAGAGAGAAAAAAACCCATTGATTTGGTTTTATCAGAATTACTTGATTTTTTTTCTCCCCAAAACAAATGTTTTGGCTCAAGACAAAACAAAACAAAATCAATGTCAGCAGCTCTAATTGGGTAGCCTCCACCCCGACTGTTTACAAGATGAACAAGCCAAACATGTCATACAGGGAGAGGCAGAAGGATTTCAAACATGAGTCACAGCTGTAGTCAAAGGGAAGCACAGCTGAGGGGAATGCAAAGCTAGTCTGTCTGCTGAGGGAGTGAAGAAGCAGACTGGAACACTTTTGACACAGCAAACAGCTGCTATAGGCATAAGAAACAGCCTGGGGCTAACTAACTCAGCAGCCTGTCTAATAAGGATGAAAAGGAGGGAAGAGGATCCCCAGCCTGGTTCAGACTGGTTGGATGCCCCCCGCCCCAGCCCAGAGAGAAAGAAGTGTCTGGGGCAGATTGTGCAGGAGAAGGTGATCCTGGGTAACCTGGACCCAAACTGTGTAGGGCTTTAAAGGTCAAAACCAACACTTTGTACTTTGCCTGGAAACTAACTGGCAGCCAGTGGAGTGACTTTAGTATTGGTGTAATATGCTCACTCCTGGATCATAGAATTATAGAGTTGGAAGAGACTTCATGGGCCATCCAGTCCGACCCCCTGCCAAGAAGCAGGAATATAGCATTCAAAGTACCCCCGACAGATGGCCATCCAGCCTCTGTTTAAAAGCTTCCAAAGAAGGAGCCTCCACCACACTCCGGGGCAGAGAGTTCCACTGCTGAACGGCTCTCAGTCAGGAAAAGTTCTTCCTCATGTTCCATAACCTATACAGCTGCAAGAATAAGAGTTAGAAGAAGAAGGTTCAACCAACCATAGAGAGAAAGGCAAAATAAGTGCTCTGTAGATTTTAAAACAGGTCTGTCAAAACCAGCACTGTACTCCCAGGGTGTCCACTGTTTCTGCAAACAGGATACCACTGGGAGCACAGTGCTGGTTTTGACAGACCTGTTTTAAAATCTACAGAGCACTTATTTTGCCTTTCTCTCTATGGTTGGTTGAACCTTCTTCTTCTAACTCTTATTCTTGCAGCTGTATAGGTTATGGAACATTCAGGAGTGAACATATTACACCAATACTAAAGTCACTCCACTGGCTGCCAGGGGTACAATTGGCCTTCCATATAAATACATTCTGTCTCCACAGATTTAACCACCCAAAGCTTGAAATTTTTTCCTCACTTCAAAAAAAAACCCCAACGTTTTTATATTGTCATTTTATATAAGCAACACTATTTTATTATCCTATTTGTGTGTAATGGGACTTGATTATCCACAGATCTTACTATTCACATAGGATCCTGGAACCAAACCACAGCAGATACAAAGGGCCTATCATACTCAATACTGGCTTTTAACTCTGCTTTTGACAATGTTTCCTAATACCTAAATGCATGTCATATTCCTATTTTGACGTCTGTTCTTTTTTTGGTGCTGGTTATTGACCGTACAGATATGCCTACAGGCGAGAAAAGGAGGCTATAATAATACAAATCAGTTGATTTGCCAAATAAAGGATAAATTTATTTTTTTTAATAAAATTTAAAAAATTGACAGATGCAGTCACTCAACATCAATTTCTTCCAGATCTCTTACTACACTCAATGAAGGGTAATAAGATGTGGGCTGCATACAGGAAAGCTATACTAAAGCCATACGGTTGCCATAAATTAGCATGGAGCTTGAGGAAACATTATTATTAAAGACCAGATAAAAGAGTGCTGTTGTCAATTATTCTGCTCAGCAGAAACATTTCAGTCTCTATAAGGGACTCTTTTATAAATTAATTCATGAAGGGGTTTGGGTTGCTTTTTTTACATACCTGTTCTGAGGATCTTCTGAACTCTGAGAATTTGAATGGGAGTCCTCAGGAATCACGTGAATGTTTGCTAAAAGAAACAGAAGTAGATGAGCTTGAAGTTACACTAATGTTGGGATACGTTTCTTGTGACCCCTTTCCACCCAAGATTTTTTTACATGATTCGGGATATATAGGTATGTAAAGCAATTATAAAAATAAATCATGTACCAACAACAATAATAAATCAGAATTTGCAAGGCTTGCTAAACAGGTTGGTTTTTCTTTTTGTGGAGTACAGCTGAAGCATTTTCTGCAGAATCCACTGGAAACAGCCATTCTGCATGTTCTTGCTAACAGATTTGTGTAAATGGGTAGCATCTAGAAACCTTTTACTGTTGGCAAATTTTTCATGACCCCAACATTGAGCTAAGAAGACTCCATTAGGGTTGGAGCCCACAGTTTAAGAAGCAGTGCTCTATACCAGTGCTTCTTAAACTCTGCTTCTCAAGGTGTTTTTTCTTCTCCCCCCCCCTTTCTTTTCTTTTCTTTTCTTTTCTTTTCTTTTTTTTGAACTTCAGCTCCCAGAAATCCCAGCCAGCTCACCAGATGTTAGGAATGGTTGGAGCTGAAGTCCAAAACATCTGGAGGAGCACATTTTAGAAACACTGCTCTAGACAATGTCCTCAGATTCAGCACAAATGCACTGAATTTACACTGAGCTAAACTGCCCGGTGTACATGAGCACTTAAGAGTCACTGGATTTAAAGAAACTGCACCTAAAGTTACAAAAGAAAAGCAAAGTGGTATGATCTACGAAATGACCTCCAAAGATCTGGATTATGCATAAGGTCTCATGCACAAAACACACTGAGAAAGGAGAGGAAATAATGAGAAGCAGAGAGTCTCTGGTTTTGTTGCACACCAGCCAGAATTCACCTTGCCCTTAGCCTCAACTAGGAATCCAAAAGCAATAGTAAAATAGTTAATTGGTAAAAATACATATAAAAAGGGAGAAATCACCAAAAGAAGTAAGGAAAGCAAAATCCAACAGGTAAAAAGTAGTCAATAAGTAAAAAGCCCAACCCAGCTGGTGAGGAGTAAAACACTTCTAGGCAATAATCCATGTAATTCAAAAGGTATATGAAAACCAAAGTCATAACATGAGCATAAATCTAGAAAACAAGATTCAAAACATGAACATTAATCCAGAAAAACCCATAACCAAAACTCCCAAGATCTTAGACTAAAACCATGAACTGGAACAGGACTAGATATCCTCACAACTACGCAGCGTTGCCTGATCTGAATTCCCAAAGAGGCACTCTCTTCCTTAAGGACTGCAAAACATGAAGTCATTTCTATGACTTTGGCTTTACAGCTTGTGAAATTTTATTTGCGCTTCCTTCTCACAAAGCCTCCTTGATTTCCTAAGCTTGATGTTTTTCTCCCTGAAATTGAGCCTGATCTCCCTGTCTAGCCCAGCTGCTCCCTCAGACGAGCTACCTTGGTCTGCTAGGTCTTTATCAGGGATTGCTAAGTTCCTTTTGGGCGAAAGGTCATCTCCCTGTTTGCTCAACTCCAAAACAGTTTCACTTTCAAGCCCTGTCTCACAGACAGAATCTTGCCTTGAAATTCCTTCATTTCCCTCATTGAAAGAACCATCCACCACTCTCCCAGGTTCTCTAGGGTCTGGAATCCCAATCCCCTCATCGTCATCTGTCTGAACTACAACAGGTTTCTCCTCCCTTATTCTCAATATAGTCACTCAAAGAGTAGAGATGGAAATCTGTGGTCCTCCACATATTGTTATACTGCAGCTCCCATCTGTCCCAATCAAGATAAATGGTGTTGATACAGCTGCAGTGAAATGACTTCTGGAGGTTTACATTCTCCACAGAGATTCATACTTTAACATTTCTTTAAGAGAGTATCTAAATTATAATTCTAGTTCATAAGTGATACATTTTTCCCCAACTACCTTCTTCATCCACGGATACACTCCGAATTATAACAGGACTGGAATATGCTGGCACCATTAAGGGTAAATTGGATGGCACAGCATAGCCACAGGGCACAGGAACAGAATATCCAATTGAGACGGTAGGACTTATACTTCCATCTTTTGGGCTGGGCTCTGGTGATAAGGATGGCTCTTTTTCTTGCATTGGTGAAATGGTTATGACTGAATATGGATTAGCTCTTGGCAAAACACCTTCTACTTTGGCTTCGGTTTTTTCCATCTTCTCAGCTCCATCTCCATTTTCTAGATTCTCATTACCTTGAATGTAAAAGAGACATTCAATTGTCAACTTCACTTGCAGAAAACCAGTGCAATTCTCTCCTCTCTTTTGCTCTTCAGATCCACTCTAAACTCTTCACCCAGAACCTGCTGCACTTGAAATCAGGTCTGACGAAAAAAAGGAAAACAGGCTAGCAATTCTGAACTACAACTTCCCCAACAGTTTGGATACCAAAAAAGTGGCTTCCTTTGCCCATTATAATTACTGCAAACTATGTTTTCGCATGGTGTCTGAGTTAAAGCTAACCCTAATGAGCCACTGTATAGGATCCTGTAAGAAATTTTCCAGCCACTCTTTAACATCCATGGCAACATTCCCCATGGCCCTCCTGAGCGCCTTGTAAGGTGATACAGGATCTGGCCAGTATTTTTCCTGTTCAATTCCAAACCACTTGAGTAAGATTTTACCTTACTCAAAGTTCATTCAACTCAGTGGGGCTTTCTCCTGAATACTGTATAAACTCAAGTATAAGCTGAGTTTTTCAGCCCTTTTTTACGCTAAAAAAGCCCCCCTCGACTTATACTCGAGTCAAAGTTATTTATTATTTTATAGTTATCATTATTATTTTTATTACATTTATTATTTTACTCTATTTATTATTGTTACATTTACGTTATCTTACTCTATTATTGTTGCTATTATTATTAAATTTATTATTTTACTCTATCAATATTATTTTTATTACATTTATTATTTTGTTCTCTTTGTTATTATTGGAAGGATACGTAAGCACGTTTACATTGAAGAAGGTTAGAATAATGGTTTAATCAGAGTTGGGTAGTCTTATTTTAAATTACAGTTTAATGTAAATATTCAAAAACATTTAACCTACTGATGACTCATTTAATGTAATTTTATTGGCATCTATTTTTATTTTAGGATTTACCAATAGCTGCTGCATTTCCCACTCTTGGCTTATACATTTTCCCAGTTTTTGTGGAAAAATTAGGTGCCTTGGCTTATATTTGGGCCAGCTTATACTCGAGTATATATGGTAGTTAGTTAGAGAAATGTATTGCAAGTACCTTTAAGAAGACTGATGGTGCAAAAATATGTATGTCTGCTCATCAACATTTTGAATACTGTCTTAAGCCGTTATTTTATGAAGAAATGAACATTGGGAGGATATGGAGGCAAATACTGCTTCTGATTTCATACACTCATGCTGCCAACAGCAAAGAAACTTAACTCACAGGGACTCCCTATATGGGCAACTTGTTCTCTTCATATGGCAAATGGAGTCTGCTGGTTTCTGCAAAAACTAACCTAAGGATAGGCTGAAAGCCCTATCCTGAGGCCAGTGGATGGATTCATCTCTTTGTGGGACAAAAAGGACTTTAGAGTTCTTTTGAAATCTGACCTGGTTTCACAAATAAACAGTATATTGTCATGCTTTCACAGCTTCTCAGACGTGAGTATACACACCTACAGCATCCATTCCTTCCTGTTCGGCACTATTTTTGGATTCAGAATTGGGCAGCAAAATGGTTTGTCGGTCTGCCTCTGGTATCTCGTCTCCACTGTCAAAGTCAAACTGTTCCCCTTCTTCCTCCTCTTCATCATCATCAGCAGCAGCAATCGCTAATTCATTGCCTAAAACTAAAAAGAGTTTTTTTGAAAAAAAGCAAAAGAAAATATCATCAGTGAAACATCAAAACAACAAACTTCATGTTAAACATTCAAAAAAAATGTCTGTGATATCACCCAGATACGATTAGGCAAGTCGAACCACCTTCAGTACAGTGGCAAAAACACAGAATTCAGTTTTCTGAAATCATCTGCTTTCAAAGTTAAAATGAGCATATTGATTACAGAATTAGTGTTGAAAACCAGAACCGGAAAAACTCCTTCTATACTGTAATGTCCAGAATCCCCAAATCAGCTTCCCCTTTAAAACTGGTTGCTGTAGAACACTTCCTTAACGTTTTAATGAACGCAGACATATTTTCAGGGTCACGTACTGCATTCAGACAATCTCTTATGCTTTTATCTTTACTTGTGGTGCAGTCACCAAATTTCTTCTGTGTTTTGAAAGCAATCTTTTCCGCTCCTATTCTCATTCCCTCAAAATTCACTTTGCTTCAGAATCGCAACTTCCTTCATAATTTGTATATACATATTCTCCTTCAAGGGAGCCCCTGGTAGTGCAGTGGGTTAAACCGCTGAGCTGCTGAACTTGCGGACCAAAAGGTCAGTGGTTCAAATCCGGGGAGCGGGGTGAGCTCCCGCTGTTAGCCCCCAGCTTCTGCCAACCTAGTAGTTTGAAAACATGCAAATGTGAATAGATCAATAGGTAAAGTTCTGGTGGGAAGGTAACAGCGCTCCATGCAGTCATGCTGCCCACATTACCTTGGAGATGTCTACGGACAACACCGACTCTTTCGCTTAGAAATGGAGATGAGCACCACCCCCCAGAGTTGGGCACGACTAGACTTAATGTCAAGGGGAAACCTTTACCTTTTTATTCTCCTTCAGGCTCCTCAATGAAAGTCCAAGTTAAATTTGAAGAGAACCATCACAGGCACATATTTCACTTCCAAGATTATTTAACTTATTTTCAGGTAACATGAGGTCAGGGCAACACTGTGTGAACCTTAGCATGCTTCCTGAACTGTAAAGGATTTTATTAACTGTTCTACCAGCATGAACATGTCCTGCATATTTATATGGCAAAACCCATATAAACATAAACCTTTCCACAGCATACCTGCCACTGGAGGAAAAAAGTCATCTTGCAAGATATTGAATTTCTTTTGCCAAGCTGAGTCAGCATGGTTTATTCTTCAGACAGTAAGTTACACCACTAATGCTTTGTTTATGTAAAAGGAAGTTCAATAGTTTTTGACCTTAAGAACTAAAAGGGTATTCATTACCTAGTTCATGTTATGTCATATGGCTGAATTATTTTGTGTGCTTCTTAAGGGCTTTGTCCGCACTCAACACTTCTGTATTCAAGTGCATCTCATCCTCTCTTACAATCCTACAGGGTCTAAAAATCAATATCTCTACAAAGAATCAGAAGTGAAAAGTTGCTGCTGACTAGGAAGGTCAAACACTGTAACGTGCTGAATAAATCACTCTGAAAGGTCACCAAGGAACGGCATTTTAAGTAATCAGGTAACATTACAAGCATTCTGCTGCATACGGAAAATATATGTTAGCTTTGTAATCTTCCCATAATACCACATATAGCAATTGCTTCATGGGACTGTGAAATCAAAATTGGAAATATAAAAGAACTAGGTGAATCAGCATCAGTTTAAGCTGCCCCGGAATGTGGTGGAGGCTCCTCCTTTGGAGGCCTTTAAGCAGTGGCTGGATGGCCATCTGTCAAGAGTGCTTTGAATGTGATTTTCCTGCTTCTTGGCAGGGGGTTGGACTGGATGGCCCACAAGGTCTCTTCTAACTCTATGATTCTATAAACATTTATCTAAGGAGGATGTTGTCACATTTTTTTGAGATCAGTTGGAGGATGGTCTCTAAGTTTTAGCATTGTGTCCTGTGATGTCTTAAGGACTAGTCTCATTGTAGCACAGGCTCTCATGAACTATAGTCCAGGTGATGGAAGAGCTACCAAACTTTCAGGTATATATACTCTGTGATTCTATGATTCTACCAGTACAATGAACTGGTAGCTTAAACTAAAGCTGAATGAAGATATATGGGGAGGAGAGAGGATGCTCCCACATATCTTCAGCTTTCTATACAAGGTCATATTTTCCTAATCTTGGTATGATTAGCTCTACATTTGCTGGAGTTACTGGCACAGGGTTTCTGTGAAAGTGAGTAGCAGTGGATAATGACAACACTATTTCTTTTTACTTGAGAGAATACTTCCCTAGGAATTTCTAGCTCTTCCCGCAGTACTCTATGGTCAACTTCCATTGAAAACCGACCCATATAATTGAGATGTTCTCTCTAGATATCTCTAGGCCTTCCAGCATGACAGAGGGAGCCTGACCACAGAATCACGCTCAAGAACCCAGAAAGTCCCAAAGAGAACATTTTAATCAAATCCACAAATAATGAAATTAATAATGTGGAGGAACAATTGTACCATTGCTCCCAATGTTACAATAAAAATATCTCCAGGCCTTTGGGCACTGCAGAAAAAAGGAATGAAGAATGATACACTTAAAGCTGGAGACCCCAATACAATGCAGGCAGTTACAAAAACCAATGGACAGTAATAGGGGCAGGGTCAAACAAGGAAGATTGTGGCACAGCACTAGATGCATTATACTTCTGCTGGAAGAGTGAATCCATGTCTGATCACATCTATCCAGCTCAGGCAGAGAGTGGACTCAATGTGAACAATCCACTCCACAACTGAGCCGGGGACAAAATGTTACAATGATTGGCCAAGAATTCCCAACCGTGATGGTACTCAGAATCTGAAAATGATCGTATTCATTGGCATCACAAGACTGAAAGCTAGATAGGTCATCTTGTCATCTTCATTAGTTGCTGGTGAAGTCAGCTTGGGTGGCTGACCAGACAAGAAAGAATGAGGGACAGCTAATTACCTCTCAACAAAGTATTCCCCCAGACAGTAACAAGCTACACCTAAAAACTGTCAGGTCATCAAATGCTAATCAGGGTGACCAATTGAAACATTCATACCTAGCTCCAACAGACAAAAGTTCTTTCTCCCACCTTGGACTTTTCACAGATATATAAATCCAATTTCCTAGTTTCCAACAGACCTCACAACCTCTGAGGATGCCTGCCACAGATGAAGGAGAAATGTCAGGAGAGACTGCTTCTAGAACAGGGGTCCTCAAACTAAGGGGGACCGGGGACCGGATATGGCCCTTCATTTCCCCAGCCCTCGCTCAGGGTCAACCTAAGTCTGAAATGACTTGAAAAGCACACAACAACAACCACAACAACAACAATCCTATCTCATCAGCCAAAAGCAGGTCCACACTTCCCACTGAAATACTAATAAGTTTATATTTGTTTAAAACAATACAATAATTTAAATGAAGAATAATTTTAAGTGTTTTTTGCACTACAAATAAGATGTGTGCAGTTTGCATTGGAATTCATTCATGGTTTTTTCAAATTATAATCCGGTCCTCCAACAGTTTGAGGGACTGTGACTTGGCCCTCTGTTTAAAAAGTTTGAGGACCCTTAATCTAGTGCATGGTTATATAGCCCAAAAAACCTACAACAACCCAGCTGGGAGGTTATTCATTCATTGAGGCTGGAGAGAGACAGAAGAATCTGTAAAATTATGGGAAGCGTGGATTCACATTGAGAACTACACTTGGATTCCTGTCATTTCACAGAACCTGAGTCTCTCTTTTCAGCATCGCATCTCATTCACAGGCTACCTGTGCTGTATTTGAGCTCAAGGTTGCAGAGAAAATTAGGATCTATGAAAGACAGTGGTCAGCATAAACCCACACCTCTCTAGTCCATCCATCCATCTTTCTCTCTCACACACCTCTAAAATACCATACAAATGATCAAACATATATTCAATTTTAAAATAAAAAATACAGAATATGAAACACTTGTGGTTCCTAGCATTTTCGATAATGGAGGTTCCACCTGTAATTCATTTAGTAAACTAAATAGTATTCCCCATCCCCTGTTCATTTGATTTCGGCACCTTCCATGAACTCCTTTTAGGAATTATTGCACTCATTGAGCCTGAACTCAACTATGTTTGCTTTATCTCAGCCATATTGTTTTATGATGTTGCTTATGTCTGTTTATAATTTTATTTGATTGATTTTAATTGTGTTTAATTGTGTTTCTGTTTTTATCTGTAATTTTTGGGCTTGTCCCTTTGTAAGCCATAGGGGAGATGGTGGCGGATATAAAAATAAAGTTGCATTATTATTATTATTATTATTATTATTATTATTATTATTATTAAAGTAAACATAATTTCTAACTGGTGCAGCATACAGGGAGCATTCTATTCCTCTGCTATGTCAGCTCCACTGGCTACCAGTGTGCTACCAAGCCCAATTCAAAGTGCTGGACTTGGCCTATAAAGCCCTAAACGGTTTTGGTCCAACTTACCTGTCCGAACGCATCTCCCTCTATGAGCCTACAAGAGTTTTACAATCAGCTGGGGACGCCCTGCTCTCCATGTCACGCTCTTTGCAAGCGCAATTGGCTGGGACAAGAGACAGGGTCTTCTCTGTGATGGCCCCTCGGCTGCGGTACTCCCTTTCCTACGACATCAGGCACAGGTGTTGTTAATTTTAATATCATGGAGGCTAAATGCATTGGAATCTATCTGAATTCTCCCACTGTTTTCAACTATAATGACAAAGTTTTCTGGAGTTCTAAAAGGCAAGATGATAAAAAAAAATGTTCTGCCCAATTGTGTAATCTGAAAAAGCCTTAGAAATGATGGGCCACACATAAATACACAAAGGAAATCCTCACCAACTCTTCCTGAATATAGCATCTACAGACTTCAGAAATCTGCTTTTCTTTGGGAGTAGGGATAGGCAGGTCCTGGAAACCCCTGCATAGTTGGAGGAAGAAACTGCAGACATTTCTATTTGGATGCCCATTGACTTCAGTGGGGTTCCCACTATTACTATTAGTCTCTTTTTTTACATAGAGGACA